CACATGATGATCTACCAGGAGTACTAGCGAAAATGAAACAAGGTACAGTACAGCATGAAAATGATAAAAGCCAAAATAAGGCAAAATATAAGTCATACTTATGCTGTGGAAGTCCATAAAAGTTTTCCAAGAGAAGGCGGAGTTCTTTGCAGCTGGCAGTTATGATGTTATATCTTTCTATTATGTCTTCATGGCTAAATTTACTGGTTTCGTCGCTAAAAACTGTGACTATGAAAGAAAATGCAGGCGATTAATACCTTTTTTATTATTTAGATACAAAATTTACTGGATTTTGATTGTATCAACATCAATAACGCAAAGTTTATTGAATAATGCACTGTAACCTATTTTGATAACACATTGCACTTACGAATTTCTTTCCTAATCGAGTCTTGCAGTGTCACCATTCCCTCATTGATCTTTACATATTCATCGAGTGAGACATTACATGATTGGAAAGATTTGATGCAATCTTTTAGCCTTTGAAGCAAAATCTTGTGTCTTATTTTTTCCCTCGCAAGATGATCACCACCGTCGACTATTCTTGTGTAATCTTCAAGTATACACATCAGTTCATACTGAAATAGTGAGTCCCTCAGCCAAACAAAGTGTGCCAATAGAACCTCTGGGAGTTTTTTGTGGCTAGCCCGTTCGCGGGCTAGCCACAATGTAACGCTAAAAATGTTTGTAAGATATGTGAAGTTGTGACGGAGATTGTCGACTTTACTTCGGAAACTGTCGTTCATGGCATGAGGCGACGATATTTACAGATGAAGAATATACTTAATCTATGATATTAAATCCCACAGAAAAGTATTTAACGACTTTAATAATACTGGCAGATGCCTCACTTAGCAAATTTACAGTTGGCAACACTGGAAGAAATGCTCGAAGGAATTTTTCACAGCAAACGGTAAGTTGATTTTTGTTATTTCAATCGATATTTATGTTTAGGCAGGCCTAAAATTTGTGAATCTATCATTTAATTTTATAATATATTAAAACATTGTTGACACTGTCTTTAATTGTTATTCATATCTGCTGTGGACTCTGATTCTGGTCAAAGAGATTTTGATCACGCTTCATATAAAGCATTATCGTGAGTTCATAATACTGTTTTATAATCAAACGTGCTTGCACAGATCTTGAATTTTAATATATCATTATGTGGGTAAATTTATAAGAAGCAAGCCCATTGCTGGCATATACTACAACTCCCCTATCCACTTGCAGGTATAAAACTACAATTAACACAGGCTGGACTATTTTATATTACTATAGTCTTTTATGGTCACTGGCATTGCACTGATTGCAAATTAATGGGTGCTATTATTGAGACGCCGGTTTGTGCAATGAAAGCTCAGTCTGTTTACGTACAGTTGAAGGATCTTGTAGATGAAAATAATTGAGTGAAAATGTATTTACATTCATTAGACCTAACCAGGAATCTAAGATCAGCAGGGACGTAGTGATTGATTAAGGGTTTGGGAGTGTAAACCCCACTGTGAAACTCAGTTAAAATTCAAGTATAAATTTTGACATTTTCAGTCCATTTTTGATACAGTCAATTTAGATCCAATTTGTTTGCAAATGTGCTTTAGAAAACACCAGAAATGCAGTAGTGGAGCTTCAAAAATGTAAACATTTTCTGGGGGAGGACCCCCTGCACCCCCTTTTCTTAGGAAACTTAGTATCACAGTGGAAATCAATCAGAAAAACCTCTATTATATAATTATTATACTTCTCTATTATATACTTATTATACTTATATTATAGATTTTTAACATTGAAGTTCAGATTTCAGGTAAAGTTCTCCGATACCCCTCCCCCAATGTCAGATGCTTTGCTACGTCCCTGAAGATCAGTGCAATCACCATACAACACTAACCTTTGCAGTTATGATGTTATATGAAAAAGCAAACACACAGCCATTGTGCTGAGGTCATATCGACAAGTTTCAACCTTTCTTTTCCATTTTCAGCATTTAATAACAGTGCTCAGTGTCAATTAGTAGCATATGTTCGTACTCTATAGCTAGAGGTAAATGTTGTTTAAATTATATACCTGCATCATGTGCATCTTTTACAATATTTCATTTGCAGATAAAAGTACAATTCAACATCATGATGCATGACTGGCATCTACAGTGCTTCAAACAACCATGTCAACACATATTCTGGACAATTTGCTGATAATATGGTGACTGGTGATAATTTTGGATAATATGGGAAGATCAGAATATGCAAGTATCAGGGCAATACAACTATCAGACAAAAGTTTTAGTAGTGATGACATAATTGATTGGATGAGTTCATTATAAATTACGATACTCTTAGATCTTGCAATAAATAAAAATGTTTAGAAATCTAGTATTAAATATTATATTAGTGAAGAACTTTGAATTTAACCCATTGCGCCCTACATTTTTACTTGTTTGACGCCAAACCATTTTACTCGTCAGTGGGAAACTCTGCAGCTTAATGGGTTAAAGGTTTTATGAAATCTGCGATGCCAACAATTCAAGAAAAGCTAATAACTTGTAAACCGGATATCAGAATATATTTATAACCAGAAACGCATGTAATGAAATCTTAGTGAATTACATATTTTATTTAGTGAATTACATATTAGTGAAATTTTGAAAAACAATAAAAGTGACATCATTAGTTGCTGAATATATGCTTATTATTAAAGTGTGACTTGATAATATTGTTGGCCGAACCATTGCTACAAACCATATTGCTTTTAAATCGAGTGATTGTAGCCATTTGTTGGCATTGTAAGAAAGATACTGCATCTGTTTTATTTTGTATTATTAATTTTGTATCACAATGAATGTTTTTGATGAATGTTTATGACAATGTGAACTCCAGCTGTATTCGACAGGCTGAATAGGCTAGCCACATGTACGCAGTGCGTACCTATTTTATATAAATGTGGTAGTTGTGGAACCTTCAATTTCATGCTCTTCTCGAAACAAATATCGGATCGCTGCCATGTCGTTCTGCCAGTTTGTAGCACTGCTTGGATAATAATGTTTTGGCTTGCATGTTGCCGTGATCAAACTATCACTAACAGAGTAGTTATCGTTACCTTTATGATCAGCCACTTGTTTCATGGATTTAACAACCATTATCACGCCAGGGCTAACATAGCCAACAGTATCTGGGTAGTCCGAGGCTGGCATATCAAAATGTGAATCGGTTACATGTACTGGACAATGAAGAGGCCGGGGAAATCCTTCGGAGGTACCACATCTGATGTATGCTTTGTCATCCATTGCCCTACGAACAACCAAATGACTATCGATATTGCCCCCATATGATAACCGAGTATAATTCTTAATGTGTACTCTATTATAGTGGACATTTATATGGTCATTCTTTAAGTTCTTCTGCGACCTAACAAAGGACCACAAGTTCCTACCGCGATGTTGTTTCGACTGATTACTGTGTTTATTCCTACATTTGCCCCATGAACGTACTGTCTCACAACTCTTGATTAACCGTTGTTTGTGGGTGGCCAGGTATTTGTTGGCAATACGTCTCATGTCTCGCTTATGAAGTCTTTTCTGGTGGCTTTCTAAGTACCCTGTACCTTCTTCTCCCCATCTCCTGCGATGTGCCTTTAGTTGTTCCTCTAGAACCTCGTACACTGCCTGTTCTGCTCCTCTATGAATACGAAATTTCCCTTTGTTCTTACCAGTTTGTCTCTTCAGAGAATTCTTCCAAAAGCAAAAGTGACGCTTTGCCTTTCGTTTCATCATCTGTTTTGGTTTCTGACGCAGTTTTGTTAAACGTTGCCGTTTTATTTCTAACTCGTATTCAAGATCATCCACTTCGTCCAAAGCTAAGCGCTTTCTTTTTCTTTCCAAAGAATGCTCGGATTGAATAATAGTCTTTTCAAGTTTGCAAATCTCTATCTCAACGGCTTTTTCTGATTTTTCCATGGAACATTCTTGAGCTATTTCAACTTGAGATAGAAAATCACATACTTGTTCCTTCATCGCATTGACTGTTACAGAAACATAGCCTAACATTTTATGAAGGTTACTGTTTGAATAAATGCTTGCGAGAACAAACTACAAAACAGCTCTATCACGTGATGTAGACATCAGCTTCAATAAGGTTGGTACCTGCCCAGCTAGTGCCTCGGGGATGCATGATGGCTGAATGTCATCTTCTCGGCCCGGCAGAGCTTCGTCTAATTGCTTGTAAGAATTTGAAATGTTCTAATGGTTTTTCTAGCAGGCACACAGATCTAAACATTAAAAGTCAATAAAAAAATACATCAACAGACAATACATAAAGCCATGTTTGTTTGTATATTTTAAAGTTTATCCATATCTCATATCATTCTCAAGTTTATCACAGTTTCTATATTTTGAGGTGTATATTTTAATATTTGATGATAATTTAAATAAAAAATTCAAAGAAACTTGGCGCACTTGGTGGGTGCACCAAAGTGAATATTTTTGGCTGGTTTATTAAATATCACAGCAACACACACTAGTCCCCAGCCTCTTGCCTTCCTTTTCAGAAATTTCCTCCTGTAGACCATCTTCGTTCTCAGGGCTTCTTGGCTGCCTGCATTGCCATAAACCCTGGGATAAGCCGAAACCGGAACACCCAGTGTTTGCTCATCCATACTCGCATTCCATTTCAGCTTGTCGCAGGACAACAAAGGCAGCCAAGCCCTGGGAACGAGTATGTCTGTTGACCTTTTGTTGACGACGTTGGCATAGAAGAGACTAGAAAGGGGGCTGGGTCACAGAATACTACACAGAAATCAAACTCTATTGTTTTCTGCATAACGCGCGATTCGTCATTGATTCGTGTTTTATAGCAAGTGCTGTAAACAGAAGCAGTCACCCCCCTGAAATAGTGCCATTTTGTATATTTTCAGGGGGGTGACTGCTTCTGTTTACGGCGCTTGCTACAAAGCACGAATCAATGACGAATCGCGCTTTATACGCAGAAAACAATAGAGATAGATTTCTGTATAGCATTCTGTGGCTGGGTACAAGTGTGTTGCCACGACAACCATATAAACAACCCAAAATACTAAAGGGGAAAACTTTCATACCTGATTCCATAGTTCTGTATTATGATAACAGGGAGCCCTTTGTGTGACAGGAGAACCGTTTGAAACCTTTTTTTTGCACTTCTCAGATCCTTTGCACAATGTCCTGGTGGGATCTTTCCTATGTACTCATCAAACGCCTGGTCAAATGTTAAAAACTTATGCACTACAAGTTCATCCAACAGAGACGATAAAGCATCAAGTCTCGAAATAGATAACTTTGAAATAGATTGTTTAATGCTTGCCTGTAAGTTCTCGTGGCATTCTTCGGCTGTTTTGTTTTGCAGAGAAATTTGTATCGGTTTAAGACTGCACCAAGATACATTCCTTTTTCGGCTGTCCATTGTTTTATGTATATTAATATTTAAAATCTAGCTACATCACTACATTAACATGCAAAAAGAAACCGTACCAACAGTCGTATCATGAGTTGACTGGCAATATGTTGTTCTGGCCACATTTGTTATTCTGGTCATATTCAGGCTATAAACATTAAGTACTGAGGTCCAAGCATGAGACCGCGACATGCCACATGTTTTGGAATGTCTTCGTTCTTTCAGCCAAGATTTTAAATATTCAACCTTTATTAAAATTAAATGAATATTTAAATGTCCCAGCTTGAAATCCCAGAACTCAAACAATTTTTAGAGAAGCTATCCCTTGATGGAAAGTACGAATTATTCCTCGCTAATGGAATAAAGCAAGTTGAACATTTAAGGGATATCCAAGAATCAGATATCACTTTACTGGAATTAACTGTTTTTGAATGGCGAAGACTTCAGCGAGAGACACAACAAACATTGGAGGACACCACTCGGAGTGTAAAAAAGACAAGTATTCCAGCGTACAAGACATCAACAGCTTCAAAAGTTATTTCTTTGCCTAAAGCATTTAAAAATTTCTTTGAAACGAAAGATGGGCAAGGAAACATTGTAGTTTCTACAGAACCGCTGAAGAGGAAGTTCAAAGACCTTTGGTACGAAAATCCATGTACACCAGCTCAAGAATTCTCCAATTCAATAACTTTGCAAATGGCTGAACAGCAAATGCAACATGAAAAGCGAAAGAGAGATTGTGAACTGTGGTGCCGAAAGCAACGGGCAAAGCGCATTTATTTCTTGTTGGCAACAACAGAACAACCTCTGGTATTCAATACATGGACTCATTATTTTAAAAACCAAAGCATCATGGGAAAAATGGGTTTGATCAAAGAGCAATATCCGACACTGGCTACTTTCATCGATGATCTTGGAAATGATGCAGTTGACAATGTATCTATACCTGCATTGGCTATGTACGATACACTTTGCCAGGTTGTTGGGAAGCTAGAAGAGGTCTCTACTTTCTGTGATACTGCCATTGGAAAGTGTGAGGAGGAAATTTCTAGTTGTTTAATAAATACAGATGGTCAGCCAAAGAGAGGTATAAACCCTAATAAAATAAAGAATTCTGACCACACTTTATTGTGCTGTCACCCTTAAATCATCATTTAATTTCTAGCTTTCTTGCTATAGTGAATATGAGTGATAGTGGTATTATTGTTGTCCAATATTATTGGAAAACAATAATACCACTATCACTCATATTCACCATAAAATAATATCCATATATCCTAGCTACTGCTAGAGGTGTAGAAATGTGTATAACAGTTTTTACTGCATCATATTCAGTGTGTGTATAAACCAGGCCAGGGACCCTGCCCCCTGGAGACATGTTGCCCCCCCCAGGACATGTTTCCCCCATCCCCTACCTTGGGTCTTTTTTGCCCCCCCCCCTGGCAGAAAATCCTGGCTACGCCTTTGATCATATTAAGGGGTTGTTGACAAATAAATTTGTACTGCAATCAGTCCTGTTTCTCGTGACGGGGGTGGGGGGGTGGTAGT